GGCTTTGAGAGCCTTGTGATTGCCGTTACCTGTCGGTGAGAAATCAGTCGGGTGAGCATGGCAAAATTGCTAAAAAAATGAGGAGCCTTTGCTCCGAGTTACGCAGACAGCGACCATCAAGTTGAAGAAAACAACGATGTAGCTGAAAATCTCCGCGGAACATTAGTAGGAGGTGTATATGAACAGCCAGTCAAACACGTAGAATGCAATGGTGAGTATGATGATGTGCAAAACAAGTCAACCTGTATGCCACTATGCCGCTAACCTTTAGACAAAATGCAATAACATAAGAGGTGAAAGCGTACACACGGTAAAGTTACGAGAGAAGACGGCCGGAACGTCGGGCTCTCCTCGTATCAATAATGAACAAATTGTTAGCGTGAGGTGGATATGACCAGCCAGCCAACCGCGTAGCATTTAACGCCGAATATGAATACAGGTTTAGCAGGCTTATGTGGACCACCAATACGCAATGAAATTGACGTGGAAATCGAAAACCCTTTCGCGAGAACTGCTACATAAATGGATGGCCGAGATACCGGACTTCCTTCGCACCTCAAATGAACAAGCTGTTGGAAGCAAGCACATTTAGAAAACGCGTAAGGGCCGAATGCGTAGAATTTGATGGTGAGCATGATGATGTGCTAATTACAAGTTCATATACATAGCAGTTTGAATGTGATCAGGGTGAATAGCGAAAACGTGCGCGCGCGGGCTGTTCGGACAGTCCATGAGTGCACGTTTTCACTCTTTTCGAGACAGGCAACCTGAACATTGAGCTACGTTCTTGCCAATTTCTAAGTGCGTAGATCATTGCTGGTAGGTGAATATACTAGCGAACCAATAAAGTAGGATTAAATAACAAGCATGAACACATGCTCGGCGAGATTTGCACGACGAGATCGGCGAGATTATGATTATGCTGTTAAAATTCAGTCGGCATGGGAAATGAATATGTCTTCGAAGGGGTGCGCAAGTACTAAGAAGGGGATGAGCCCTAACTTCAATAAGCCTTATCATTTATCTTAAGCCCTATGGGTGTGAACTGCCAAGAAGTAGCGAAAGTGACTATCACCCGCCTTCCCCCCCCCCTCCCCCACACATACACACTCAGGGAACTTCTGTTGCTCCCGCGCCTTTACGGGAGCCGGCTAGCATTCTGTGCTGAACACTGATTGTAAATTCGCTTTTTGAGGTTGAGTAGCGACGTTTACGGGGAGTGCACTAAACAAAGAAAGCTCATAATTGGCCACGAAGCCTAAATGCTGCCACGGAAGACTGAGGAAACAATCAGCCATGAACCTGGCTCGCTGCGTGCTGCCCATGAGACTTTGCACGCATGCCATTCTGTGTTTACATCATCGGGGCTTTTGTGTGGTCGCGGCCAAGCAAATTATGTTCAGGGATGGAATAAACATAATGATTGGAGCGTACTGCCACTCGAGTTAAGCGCACAGATATTCATCAGTTGTACAGCTAGCGTTGTTCCTGCTAACAATAATTTGGTATCAAAGATGCATATCGTGCTCTGCACTCCGATCAGTTATCAATAATTCCATCTGGAGATCATTTTGAGCGACGCACAGAAACGTCTCAAGCACACAACATACGTGACTCGACACCCACGGTGACTAAGCAGGCATGTAGGGACCGGACACTGTCGGCGACCTGACACGGACCGAGCACGACAGAATGCAGACGGGCATGGATCGAGCACGGCCGGCCCTTAACCAGGTGATGACCGAGCACGGCAGTGTACATCAGCGCGGGCCGAGCACGGCACATCTGGCGGAAGTCTGGCGCATCTAGAGCAAAACAATTGACTGTAGCAGACAACAGACTCTTCACTCTCGCCGCTCACTCTCACCGCCGGAGGCGGCACATCCATGGGGTGCGATGCCGTGTAGGATCAAAGTGGATCGCAATGCCGTTCCGCTTAATAGGTTGCCACGCACATTATCACGCCCGCCGCTAATTTTTACACATTTGTCTCGCTGGCCATGTAAGCTGTCAGTAGCAGACTGTTTTTTCATCGGAACGAATGCATCCTGGTGTTCCTGCCGTCATATTGGAAATAAGTATTGTGTGCGCGTCTGCACTTTTCAAGCCTTTCCATTTTTAACGTCTGCCCGCATAGGCCTGCGAGGCAAATCATCATGTTCTTCGTGGAATCGTACGTAGTCGGCCCTCTTATCATATGCACCTCCTGCTAACGGCTTTTTCATTACCTGCACGATTATTTTGTTGTTCTGGCTGCCCCTTAGCATTACTTTTGGCATCTGAAAGCCCGCCACGCATTGCAATATTGGCACCAGTGACGTCATGCTAACAAGATGACGTGAGAATCACGGGACAGTTTTGCCTCTCACACGGACTTGGCGGGGTGGTGTGAGGCTCAGCGTCCGGGCCTGGTGGTCGAGGTTAGGTTCGTGGAAGGGAGGGTAATGCTTGTTGCTCTCATTAAGTAGTATAAGAAGACTAGCATACACCCGTCTGCTTGCTACTCTGTTAAACATGCATCCACTGCCTTGTTACCTTGCATGCCGCTGTGACTTCAGCGTGAATGGACGTTGCATTCGCATGACTGTATTCTTGCCATGCCATGTTGTGCTAGATTTTCAAATATGTCTTCGTGTTAAAATATGTTGATGTAGTTTTGCTTGGAAATTACCTTCACCACAGCATCCTTCCCTGAAACATTGGCTCCATGACATTGATTTGGTTGTGTGTGTATACTGAACTGTGAGCTGTCATGCATTGTGTACAGTGTACATACACTAAGTTTGTATGCAATGTTCTTGCTGTGTCAGCCATGTTCAGCATGATATGTTTTTTGTGGTGGTGTGGCCTGTTTTATGGCTGTGCATATAACTGTCCAAAGTCTTTTCAACACCTTTGTGATTGAATATCAAGGAAAGGCAGCCCTTATTTATTATTATATAAAGGCGGCCCTATTTTGCTTGGTTATATACCAGGTCATTGTTTTGAAGTGATCAAGTAGTCTATTCTGAATGAAGTTCTTTAGGTCACCTGATGCTTGGAGAAGAAGCACTTTTATTTGCCTTCAGTTGGTGGTTCAGCTAAGTTGAATATGCATGAATTTGTGTTCTGAATGGTTGCGCAAGCATTTCTGTAGCTTGTTTGCTGTGTTTGGACCAGGATTAGACCAACAGTATTCACAGGCATCATATTACAATATGTATTATTTTATCACTTACTCTCACTCAATACACACACAAGGGGGTTCTAGGAAATTTTTTAATATTGGTGTACCAAACTAGCTAATAAAAAGTAAGAAGTTGGGCGCCAAATGACCACCGCAGTTGGCGCGCCCCTAAACTCTAGTAAACAACAACAACAGATAAGAAGCAAGAGAACATGGCAATATGAAGTCAGCCAGTCAGTGGTGTCTTTCTGCAGCCAGTGATCCCAATATGATAGATGAATTAAATGCAGTGCTACCCCTGGAGTAGGGAAAATGCTAGACTCTTAATATATCAGTGCTGCATAGCAGTCCTGGATCTGGAGCAATGCAACCCAAATTATGTGGAAAGTAAGATGGCAACTGGCTGACGAGAATCAGACTTCCTGAGCCAGCGATGTATTGACATTGGCTTTCAGGTAGAATCATCCAAAATTTTTCATAGTAAATATGCCTGATGCAAAATCATATGAATAATCAGATGTGCATGGCTTGGGTGGTGCTTTAAGGGCATATATAAGCTTAGTCTCCATCCCATCAAGTTCCATAAACCCATAAGCTCAGTCTAGCACATGCTTCAAGCTGAAGGCCATTCACGTGGTCATTTGAAATTAGTGTAATTTAAAAAGTTGCAAGTCTATATGAAATTGATGTCATTGATATCACATAATTTGTTTGGTGCACCTCAAAATGATTAGTTGTCATCATGTCCGTAACGATGAAAATTGAAAAAAAGCAAATTGTCTCTTTTGGATTGGAAAACTGATATCAGAGACAACAGCAACCATCCCATTTTGGCACCATGTTTTGGGCTGTAAACATACAGGTGCCTGCATGTGCCAGCAGATATGAAGCCCTTTTCAGGCCCACATCTTCTAAATGACCATGGCACATTTTGTCTCAGAAAAGTTGCAGCAGTGGGAGACATGAATTGTCTGCTTTACCTGATGAACCATATTACCAAGCTGTTAATGGCTGGGCAATTATGTCTCATGAAACCATGATAAGCTGGGAACAATGTGTTACAAACACACTGCATAATCCGGCTAGAGAACCTCTCTAGCTTGAACACTCTCCTGACATTGGAAGTTATCAGCTGTTGCTGAATGGCATCAGCACAAACAAACATTTGTGATCAATACAGCCAGCAGCAAGGGCCAGATATGGCACTGGCCAAAGTTTGAACCAGTGTGTCACTGTCGACCATGTGATATTCCATGTCGTGAAGCCAAAGTGAACTTCAAGGAGACCTGCTGTAGTGGACACCATGGTAAGGGATAAGATTGGAGAGAAAAGGGGAGAAATCAAAGCCTTCAGATGACATTTGTTGCATTTGCTGGGTGATAACTTCAAGTTTGCATAAACTTGCATAGCATTTGTTACACATTTTAAGAGTTTGGTATGTTACAAACATTACAGAATGCACATGTTGGAAAAAGCAAGGCAAATCCAATGTAGTACTTTCATGGTGGTGAGCAGGGAGTTTAATGCTATTTTCTATTGGTGTATGCAAACTCTGTGTACGCCTCTTATGTGGACATAGTCACCAAAATATTGAGGAAGTATGTATGCTGTGTTTGGTATGTATGTTCCATGGACAGGCTGATGTGGGGTATGGAAATTTGATGGTTGGAAATGTGTGAGCTCATCTAGGCCATTTGTCCACATTCTAAATCTTCATTTACAGAACATGTGAGTGCAATTGACTGAAATGAAAAATAGCATAATGTTAAGAAAATGTGGTGCGTTCAATCACATGGAAGGTGTAGGAAAATCCACGTATCCCGGCGGCCGCGATTGACACCGTAGGAAATATCGCAAAATTTGCCGGAATGTAGCTCTTTAAAACAGAACCAATCAGAGTGTTTGAGAAAAAACAATAAAACCACTTTTTATTTGTTGCATCAAGTTACATGTAGGCTGTGTGAAGCAAAAAATTGAGAATAGTGTGAATTGCTTATGGGCAAGTGGGTGTGTGGGGACTTCATGCCAAGCAAGAAGTGGTTGTAATAGGCTTTTAGCATGATGTCATGACTTTTTCAGCACAACAGTTGGGAGCCATGCCACTGATGACTCAGCTAAGAGAGCTTTTCCCTTCCAAATGGAGCCTTTTCATCTTCATTGCTTACATGGCTCTTTTCATCAACCAAGGTGAGTGTAACCAAAAAGGGTGCGAGTGTATGTGTGGCACAACGTTTGCGGCACTTGTTTAAGGTGTTTAGTTCATATGAAATTATAGTCCGTAAGAAGAAGATAGAGTGGGGCTGTAGAAGACCGGATGTGATTACGAAATAATGTGAAATTCGCGTTTCTGGAGCGCAAGGTAACCGTTGATGACACTGAACCGTCGAAAACTTTTCAGTGCTATAATTCCGACATAACCAGCACCATAACCGGATAGTTTAGGGGGGCCGCATTCCCCTCAGAGGGGGGATGGGCTTCCTGGGGGCCTAAGGATTCAATACATTCCATGGTTTTCACGGAAGGGGTTCTTTTAAGCTAACGGGCCCTTCGATTGCATCACAACCAGATCCTGAGCCTTAAACAGATCCCGAATAAAAAATTGGTCCATAGTGATTAAAGTGGAGTATCTGTGAGTGAAAACGGCCCACTATATCCTACGCCACTCAAACTACCTGCCCCCCCCCCCCCCCCCCCCCCCCCCACTCTGGCGGAATCCTGGCCACGTCACGGAACGTCACAGCCAACGTATGCGGGTCCTGTTCATACCCACGCACTACAGCGCTGTAGTTGCGGAGGGAGGCCCATTGCGCGCACCACAGCTCTGGTGAGGCCAGCGCTTTGAGCTGTCACGATGGGTTTTGGTGATATTCGTCATCTGAAGTCAGCACAAGAAAATTGATGCTCTCTTGCAATTGTGGCAAGCACCCTCACCATTGCACTGCTAAGAGTCAAATAATCCATACGTTACTGCGAGTAGGCATGATGGTCGTTGAAGACATGTTGTGCATGCCAAGGAAGTTGAACCCTTTGTCAGCATTACTACTCGCCATGCATAGCAGTGTAACCATACACAGCCTTATAACCATGTGCAATTATATAGCCATATCAGTGTGTCATAACCATGGGAAGATATCATAACAGGATGTCATTACTGCTACAATATGAAATGACCATAACATGTTGTCACAGCCATAGCAGTTTGTCATCACCATAACAGGATATTGTAGCCATAATGGTCACCATACAAACGACTTGGTTGTGCTTTCAGGGCTTCTGGTTACTGCCACAAAGAAGGAAGACAACAGTTACAGCTATAACTCGGTGACTGTAGTTCTTCTGGCTGAGGTCACCAAATTGTTTATGTCATCTTTAATATATCTGCAAGAGTGAGTAAACAATCATCACCAAAGTGCATTTCCTGATCGCCGTTCTCATACGTCATGCCATGTTAAAACTGGATAGTCCTAGGTCCAACTAATCTGCCTCGACTTGGACCTGGAAGTTTATTGAATTGAATCGACTTGAAAGCGAATCAGACCTAGAGTTCACGCTCGACCATTTTGAAGTAAATGCCGCGTGTTAGGTATGTGTGATATCATCCCGGTTGTTTGCTTTGCGCAGTTCACAGAATACTCGTTACATACTTGCAGTCGACGTCTTGTGAATGGGGAGCCTGTCGCGATGCTATTGCGAAACGTCCTCGTTGGGAACTTGGTTATCCGTTCTGCAAAATCCATACATAGGTTGATGTGTCATTGTTACCAGTTTGCTATGATGTCGTTTCTCCTCGTGTTTCTTGCGCTGCGCTGACGTGTGCTGCTTCTGAACGTGATTTTGTGCTGTTTTCAGGCATAAATGGCGTGTGCAGGACCTGCTGGAGGATATCTGTACGCACAGACGTGGTAAGACTCGTTTTCACCATGATATCTTGCTTGACCCATTAAACTTCACATCTGTCTGATAAACGTGTTTGATTTGCGGCCCTGCATGATATGATAGTATTGGGTGTTGCACGACCCCCCGCAGCCGATGCGGCCCAAAACTCCAACTAGCCATCATCTGCTGATACCATGTGTGTGCTGTCAGGTGTTACACTGTGAGCGATCGCAGGTGTTGAACAGCGCGTGTCGTGCGTTGACGCTGGGGCCCAGTATTCGGATTGGCCACGTTGCAGCGTTCGACCGGGCATTTGGTTGGGCGAGTATTCGAGCGTGTTAATTGTTAGTCCCGTTAGGCAAAATTTTCGAACGCCAATAACAGTTTATATGGCGGGAATATTGAGTTGAACGGAGGTTCTCAGTTCAGCAACGCAAAGTACGAGAAGTAAATAAGCATGTCCAGAGTAGCTGTTTTACCAGACGGAGGGACTTAGCCGTCACCTTCCGCCGGCGTAGGGGAGTAGCGTGCCCTGTAGTCCCAGTCCCGATTTAGGCACTTGTCTCTCCCGATGGTGACCGAGCGTCGTGCTTGCGTCGACGGCCTGTTGTCCTGCCCGGCCCGTGTCCTGTATCGTGGCCCAGCTGTACGCAGTCGCTCGTTAGGCACCTGTATATAAGGTCATTGGTATGCGACACTTGAAGTTTGAAAAACTGAAACTGACTGCCACCGCGGACGACAGCTGGCGGCGTAACCGTGTCTGGTGGCGCCAGCTGTCTCGCGCCAGCCCGATAACCAGCACGTGGCCGATATGATAATGTTGTCTTCTCCGTGGCAGTTGGTTGTTTCTGTCGCCAGTCTGGTTGGTCCGTCTCATGAACTTAATCGTTGCCCGCTAAATGTGGAGCTGGATATGAGGTATACCATTTTATGCCCATTAAGTTTGGTGAGACGTCCGCTTAGTGTGTTAATCACCGGTTGCCCTGCCTGCTTCCGCATATGATCGCGTTCTCCGTAGATGGACCCCCACCGATCATGTGGCTCATGTGCGCATGACCCCAACCCGTGTGTACTCAGCTGAGTGCTGCGCGTGATGTGTTGGCCGGTGCTGCATGCGACAGACCCTGACCTGACGGTTGGCTGGCACGCCCGGCGTGCGCCCGACGGGCCCTGACCTGACGGTTGGCTGGCACGCCCGGCGTGCGCCCGGGCTGACATGCCCGCTGTGGTACCGCCAGCGCTGCTCTACTATACGGTGCCAGCCGGCCTCTACTGCGTGTACAACATCCTCACCTTCACCAACTTGGCGGCATTCGATCCCACCACGTACTTCTTGCTGCTTCAGCTGCGAGTGGTGGTCACAGGCGTCACGTTCCAGGTCAGAGGCTGAGGGGAACGAACAGCACATGTCGAGGCATGCCTGCGCGTTACGACGTCGTGTGGTGTCATGGTAGCAGCCAGTAGGGGAGGGTGGCTAAGAATGTTTTGCCAAGAGTCTTGTGTTTCACAGTTAATACAAGTGTGTGCACTGTTTTCAAACTGGTAACATAAAGCTCACGAGCCGGCAAATGATTATCAACACCTTTAGCTTTTTCCATGGTGACGTCCCTTAACCTAACGTCACTCCGCCCCGGCTACCGCCTGAGTTGTGTCGGCTGGTTTAATTATTATACTGAATGTAAAACCGCTCGAAGTGGGGACAATTCTGAGGCTGATGCTTGCACGATAAGTCAAAAATTGTTGCTACCTATTTATTTAAGTCCATATTTCTCGTGTTTTATGTCGCCGCACGGTAGCGTGGAGCACTCGAAAATCTGCTTTGGCCCCATTCTGGGCGCTGCAACCCATGTAGCCTGACATAACCTGAGACTGGCTTGGCGTGGCAAAACAACAATGTTGTGCAGAGTCGTTTGGGAGGTCAAGCCTGCAGGCCGCCCACACGCCGCCCACAGGCCTTTTGTAACTTTTTGACTGAAGGTTATCCCGAATCCATGATCAATTACCAAGCATCTACGTTACACGCTCAGAACAGCTAGGAATATGGTCGATAGCGCATTCAGTAGTTTGGTGCTCCATGCCATGATGCGAGGTCGTGACTTGCCTCAAATTGTGAGCATTAAGATGTCGTCACCATGTGTAGAGCGGCAACATGCACTTTCCCGCAATGTTGGGAATACTAGGGGGCTTTGCTTTGGACTCACCGCTGCAGGGCGGGGGTTAAGGGTCAAGACCGTGCGCACACCGCCCAGCTTGTATCCATCGTGTGCTGTGAATGCGTCAGCAGTTTCCAATGATGGTCTTCCCATGTCCTCAGGTGCTTTTCAAGAAGAAGTTGACGTCCCGTCAGTGGCTTTCGCTTTTGCTTCTCACCGTGGGGTGCATCATCAAACAGCTGAACACGGGCCCGGCGTCGGCGTCGAGCTCGGACTGGCTCCGGGGCATCTTCAGCTTCAATATAATTCCCATCCTAGTGCAGGTAGCGTGTGCACGGTGTGGCAGCGCATTACATAGAAAAAAAAACAACTCTGTGCGCGTGTTGGAACGCGCGCGCAGCTCCTGCTGGTGTTGACTTGCATTCAGAACCTTCTTTTTTGTAATGCTGTTTGAAGTGACGATAAATTCGAATGTGTTGATAGCTTTTCATGTTTCATGTCTAAGCATGCTATTACATGGCATACCACGTCGCACCAATGCGCCAGTTTTTGCATTAAACAAAATTAAGGAATGCTTGCAACGCGTTGGAACCGTACAGTGAAGCCGAGTTGAAGACGATTGTGGCTGGCTGTGTCGGTCGCAGGTGTTCTGCTCCTGCTTCGCTGGCGTCTACAACGAGTACCTGCTGAAGCACCAGGCAGTGGAGGTGCACATCATGCTGCAGAACATGTTTCTGTACGTCGACTCGATCGTGGCGGCGACGCTGGCTCTCTGGCTCCGCGGCCAGCTGGGCACGGCGCTGACCGGCGAGGCCCTCCGCTCCATCCTGCATCCGGCTGTGCTCGCCATCGTGCTGAACAACGCTTGCATTGGCATCGTGACATGCTTCTTTCTTCACTCGCTGAACTCGATCCTGAAAACGTTTGCCAGCGCGCTGGAGCTGATGTTTACCGCCGTGCTGTGCTGGCTCATCTTCGGCATCCCGGTGTACCTGAACACCGTGGTGGCCATCGCCGTGGTGTCCGTCGCCATCTGTGTGTATTCGCAGCAGCCGGTACGGAACCCGCCGGCGACAGCAGTCCACACTGCACCCAACCCAGAGCAGGCCCAGTCTCTAGTGCAGCAAATATGAGGCTGCGTAGCTGTGTTCAGCAGCGCTCACGCGAAGCGGTGGGCTCGTAATTCTTGGCCAGGTGGCGAAAAGACGAAACAACGTAACCTGAGTGGCGGACTACCCCATACTGCCGTCGCGTCATTGGGTTGTGCTGTGCTGTCTGGTGTAGTCAGTGTTTTGCTGTGAACATGTGATTTCGCTGTTTGGGATCGGTGCCACAGTGGGCCTTTCGAGATTAGAAGGGACTGGCGTGCAATGGCCAGAGATTTGTGCCAGGCAATCCTGCCTGCTCGCGCGCAGCGTTTGCGTGTTCGCCTCGCTTTCATTGTTCGCCGGACAGTCACGCGACCGTTCAAATGTCATTTGTTGGATGTGCTTGGATTTTTCATGACCAGTCTCTCCATGAAGCCTTTCAGTGCGTCCCGTGGTGCCTTTTTATCGTAAGTATTTATCACAACATTAATGATTTCACCCAGAAGACTCAACACAGCAGTAATTGATATGTTATGCCTGCGTTTGTACGCACTCCCGCCCCATTGGTATTGGTTGCGCGTGTGTGCGTGTGTGTGTGTGTGTGTTTGTGGTTTTGTCTTGATGCATCTAGTCGCTGTTTTATTTTCATATTTTCAATATGTTCATAGCATTGGCATTCATGGTTGTTCCGTCCCCAGGGATCGTAGCTAGTTGTAGTATCAAGAGTGATATCTGAGCTATTGGCTCGGTCGCGTGATAGTCGATAATTGCTGTGGTGCGTAATGCTGCGACCCTGTGTGAGGCAGCTTAAACGAACGCGGCGAATATAATATTGTGCATGTCAGCTGGAACCATTAGGTAATCCAAGCTAACAAGCAAGGTACCAGGTACCATGGGCATCAACAGAGTAATTGCAAGAAGTGAAGGATCGGCAGGTCTCGAGCACAAACAGTGAACTTGTGAACGGTGTCTTACTACTGGGAATATATCATTGCTCATGGTTTTTCATTTGGTATGACTCCTTCCAAATGACAAAAAAGTGACATTTCACGATTTAATGCAGTGAGCGAGTGTGTATGTAGATCGCCACATTGGTGTTTGTGAACATGTGATATGGGTTCGGATTCAAAGCATGTACGAAGCATGCTTGCAAATATGCAGATATGCCGTCCTACATCACTGTTTTTATGGTGAGGAGTGTTGCCCAATGAGAGACAGGTGAGGACATCGGCAGGAGACGGGAGCGGACGACAGGAGACAAGAGAGGACAACGGCAGGAGACAGGAGACGATAACGGCAGGAGACAGGAGACGATGACGGCAGGAGACAAGAGAGGACAACGGCAGGAGACAGGAGACGATAACGGCAGGAGACAGGAGACGATAACGGCAGGGGACAGGAGACGATAACGGCAGGAGATAGGGGAGGATAACGACAGGAGATCGGGGAAGACAATGGCAGGAGGCAGGGGAGGGCAACGGCAGGAGACATGGAAAGACAATGGCAGGAGACAGGGGAGGGCAACGGCAGGAGACGAGAGAGAGTAACGGCAGGAGACGGGAGAGGGTAACGGCAGGAGACTGGAGAGGACAACGACAGGAGACAGGGAGGACAGCGGCGGGAGACAGTCGAAATCAACGGCAGGCGTACTGCCTTGGCCGCGATGACAGCTCGGTAGATGCACGCGGCCAGCAGAACTTAACGCTACAAGCGCTTGAATGGCTATTTCAAAGTTACACCTATTTACATCGAAGCTAGTGATTTTTTTTGCAGGCATCGGCAAAACTTGAGTCCTCCAAAATATACTGTGTTAGATCTCAGTAGATTAGGAACGATGCCAGCTTCATTGACCACAGCAATCTCCTTGCTAGGCCATTGTTAAAGAAAGTGCTCCTTATTTGAACATGTTGAAACAAACGTCAGACATAAAGTAAGCTCACTTGTAGCTATCGGTATACCTCATAGAGTAAGAGACTGTTCTAGGCACCGCAATTTCTCTACCTGTTAAACATGCTCCTCATTACGCCATCGGTTACGTCGTGGAACCTTTACATGTCGCTGAGGTGCTGCTAGACTGGCCACGCGAAATCGCCACCCTAGCACCCACTTGTAGTACTAAGTGTAGTACTAAGTGTAAGTCTCTCGAGAGATGGTCACGTGTTGCTGGAGGTGTTTGCAGAACAAATAATCGGGATGTGCTCTTGTTTTGGCCCTTTTCGTGGTGGTCTTGCATATTTACTCGTGAGTTTAAGATGTTGATACGCATTCACGTTTTTCGTTATTGCAATACGATCAAGTTGCTCGAGCACAGGCTTTGTTCCGTGATGACTAATAAGGATATCCAACTTCTTGTACTACGTAGCACAAAACGTGATTCGTGATTGAATCTTGCACAGCCCGCACAACATTATTTGAGGGTCAATGGACGTCGTTACGTCTGAAAACCGTAATCATGAACGCCACATATGAACGACACGTGTAGTCGGCACACCTTCGTGGGTGTGTAGCTCGGAAGCCAGAAGGTTTTTTAGGTCTGAAGAATGGCAGGGACTGCGAACTGCACCGGAGTATCTTCAGGGTGGCTATTTCAGTTCAAAACCTGTTACAAATGTGGAACATTTCCTTTAGTTCGTTTGCTTTGCAGCAAGAGCGAGTAGGAATTAGTCAGCGTTCGAATACTACGGACAGGAATCCCGTTTTGCTATAACTGGTATAATATCATCGTCGTAATACTGTTCATACCCAAAAAGCCTGAATTTTGTGGGATTAAATACATTTTCGTCGATTTCAAAACAAGAAGAAAAGTGCTGGACCATTTGAATCTTCAAAGATCACCGTAATAACAAACCAAACAACTTAGCATATCAACAATATCCGACAACCCCGCTTTCTCAAGGGGTCGACGCTTTGCTTCTTCGTGATCACAACAGCTGACTACGCTGCGAAAGGTTATCGGCTTCGCTGGGATTGCCCTCCCAAACACAGTCCGGCATATGGTCGACTGTTGGGATCCATGGCTGTCACCAAGAACATAGTAAAAGCTATCCGCAGCCGTATACCTGTGAAACAGATTCAAGACGGGTTTAGGTTTAGTAACTCTGCCATATGCATCAGTGAGCTTAGAGCTCAATTGCCTAAGTAATAGGCTACGAAAGGGCACTCTTATATGGATTGTCCCAGCCAACTAAAATTGACCAAATTCTTACGGCTCCCTACACCGTGCATATGAAGAACTCAAATCTGTTCATCGTCTCGTGGTGATTCTGCCCCAACATTTCCTTTCCAAGTGCTGTTTTCATTCATGAAGACATTTTCAATGCTGCGTTGCTTCCGCCGCTAATTCCCTCGAAATTTACCATCTATTTCCTAGCTTGAAGAGATGTTGCTGGTATAAGGCAGCTTGCTCACATAGATAATCACTCGGCTACTTTCTAAAGAGGTATTCGGGTACCCGCCTGGTGGTCTTGTAGCGCTGACGGTATCCGTCTTTTAAGGACGCGTGGCCCTTTTCCTCTCATCCGCGCCAGTTATGAACTTTGTGGGGGGGGGGGGGGGTTCTCTCGGGAGTGCGTCGACATCTCTCGGATGTTACCTGGACCGCAACAATAAATTCGCAAATATAGAAATTATGGCCTCCCTGTGTGCTTGCCAGTTTTTGTTTGGCAGGTGTCATATTCAAACTGTGTTTCTCAACAGGCCTAAACGTTGCACATCATGGGCGTAGGAACGTTTCCAAAAGTGTGGGGGGGGGGGCAAGCTCAGGATGCACTTCAGGAACTTTTCTGGAATGTGAGCCCGATGATCCGGGGGGGGGGGGAGGGGGGGGGGAGGATAGGAATGGAGGTTGTTATCGCTCCTCACTCAAATGTCATGGCTGCTATGCTAGATATGCATCTGGAGCTGCTTATCACTGGTGCACATCTGGCCTATGCGACTCATCTGTCATTTGGCAAATAAAGCTATCCGGCTTCCTTAGATCGTGCGGCCATTTTAACACTGTCTTTCCTGACTAGGCGGAATTTCATGAGCTGGTAGGTATTTTGGGTCATAAGGAAGCTTGAAGCCTTCACAACGTAGATGCCAAAATACGGCCTGGGTATAGGCTGGGGAGAATTTTGAAAGTGGATTGATGCCTCACAGCGCGACAGATTTTTCATGCGCCCTCATTTCGTTGGCTGCTTTTCAAGGGATAAGACTTGTGGCAGCATTTTAGGCGGAAACAAATTCGGGAGATTGAAACTGCTAGAAACAACGTGATAAAAGCCATAGAACTGGAGATTCTCTTTTAAGAATCAAGTCACATAACAAGGCCCGTTTGTCATATTCCCTCATCTGGGCCCTGCCCCTGTCCGCCGTCAGTGGCCACTGCCCTGGCCCGGATACCTCCAGCATGACTGACTGCAAACTGATCGTATGGCCTCTTTGTTGCATACTTTGGGACCAGCTTTACTACTACGTGGTGTGTGAGACACGTGTTGGACACCTGCAGCAGCATCTTTTTCCGAATTATCTTCCCTCACACCACACCATCCCAGAAAAATAGTCTCCATGAAGCTGTCTGCCTTAGGTATAAATTGGCCCAATGGACACTTCATTGCCCATCATGCAACGCATGCGACTTGATTTGCTTCTGTGTGTAGGCAGGGGCGCAACCAGAGCCTTGCCAAGGAGGAGCACAAGGTTGACAAAAACCCAGTTTATGGTAATTCCCCAAAACTCCCCTGATATAGCTTACTTGTCAACAAGTGACACTGTTTTCTTCATTTTATTGTTATTTTACCCTGTAGCCAAAACAGAAACCAGAAGCTACCGTGAGCTCAATTCTATTTGCATTTTGGGGTCAATAAACTGCAAAAACCAGGCGTTAAACGACTGCATGGAAGAAATCACAGGCGCTTTTAATTTACAATGGTTAGTTGACTTTCTAAACCGACAGAAGTCAGCAGCGTTGTCAATTTTTATATTGGCTCTACAGACATTGAGGAAATCGTGAAGGTAGATTGTAGATCGATATGTTTGATCCAAATTTGAAGATGAAAATTTGATTGTAGATCGAGTGGTGAACAATATGCATTAACATGGCCAAGCCATGTTTGTCAGAAAATGTTCACCATTCATTCAGAATCGATTAGTGATACAATTATTAAAAGTGTTTTTTTATGCGCTTTTTATTTATGCGCTCGCAGGTCTTAGCGACAAAAACCCTGACGCCAGGCGTTGCAGTCTCCGTAGTCCGCGGAGCCGTAGCCCAGTAGCTAAGATATGGCCGTGGCCCACCGGTGGACGGAAATGATGACGCTTCTGAAATTATTACCTTTAACCACTTTCAAGTTATGCGACGTAGTTTTGAGTATGCGCTGTCGAAAATTTTAGAAACACGAACCTCGACCCCAGGTGTTACAGTTTCCGTAGGCCGCGCAGTGTCGGCGTAAGAGCTAGTATCAAATTGTGTCCAACGGGTGGACGAAAATGACGACGCTTGTGAAAAAGTATCCTTGGACGCTGTTGCATTTAGAAGGCAGTCTGAGCGCATATTTCACGTGTGCGCTATTTATACTGATTAAAAGGACGGATTGGCCCGTAAAGCACCGCGAAGTGGGGCTGGAATCTGGTGGATGAACTAGAGTGAAGGTAAAATCCCCATTTTTCGTGTTTTCGCAGCTATTTACCTGTCCAGAAGACAGGTGAACGCGGCGCCCGCCGTCTGGTGGCACTTGCAGTGGCCGAAACTTTTCGGTTTTACGAAAGTTGCAACCCAGACCATCCTTGTCCCTGCTCTCGAGGTTGCGGGCGGGCATGTTCGAGACTTCGGATGAGATTTGTTTCAACAATACATTCTGAACAAATGAACGTTCTCAGGCAAACATCGCATGACCATGAGCGTCAAAAAAAATCATTTCGAGCCGCGCCATTCAACAGAAATGAAAGCCCCGTTCTACTCAACAATAATCAGACCCCTTATTTCCTTCCGGGCAATGGGCTTCTTGAGTAGAGCACCAGGGGTACATTATCATTTCCGGTCAAGGGCTGAATGGCCGTTCCGTCCCATCGCCAAGTGTCTTCTGGCTACCATCCTGGTGGCACGGGGCGGGATCCCCTGGTCGATCCGGAGGCCATTAGAAGGA